TTAATTGCAGTTTCCCACACCACATTCCTCAGAGCCCAGTACGTAGAGAATCTTGTGAGGAGATTGTATGGAATTACATTTGTTGAGTCTTCCCAGAGAAAGGGGAACATATATACACCTCAACCTGTGAGGAAGGGATGGTGAACCATAACAAAAAAAGATGAAAAAAGTTCACAGAAAAGAACTTATCGTATCAACTACAGAAAAATTGCTGGATGGGAATGACTATGCTTTGCATAGGCAGGATTCTGGCTGTGGTGAAACTGAGAAATTGGAGAATGTGGAAGCCATCTTGGAAAATCAGGCTTCCTGTGAGTGCCTGGGGAAAGGAAGCTGAGAAACTGGAGGACAATGTCTGCTCAAGATAAGCCTGCGGGGCTTATCTATTGGGAGAGAGGTCTTCAAGGCCAAGCCAGATGCCCCCCCCCAATGCTAAATGGGAGATGACTTCAGCTGCATGAAGTGAAGGAGGCACAAAATGCTCTGGGCTTTAGAAACATTCTTGGAAACTCAAAGACTGCTTGGTGAGCCATCTGGAAAGGTCTAAAGCAGACTTTAATGTATAAAAAGGGGTTCAGAAGTTGCATTAGTCGGCTTAGCTCAGGGGATGTTATGTTCAGTTGCAGTCCTGCTATTCCTTGCCTGGAAAGATGTACTCTGTGTATGTTGACTCCATGCTAATGTGTGAGTATTAGATAAATTAGTTTAGCTTTATTATTTTCTGGTGCATTCTCCTGATTTCTTTAGCTTTATATCAACTGTATTTTTTGCTCCAAATGCTTTTAAAATTTTTTGAAATGTTTTTGCCTTTTTACTGTCTTTAATAAAATATAAACATCTCCCCAGTCAACTGTCTAGGTTTTTGACACAGATGTGTCTGTGATATTGAAACCTAGTCTTGCTCTGATCAGCTAGTGGGAATTTTGGTATTTGTGTGAGTGTGTTGGCAGCTCTGCATAGCCAGGTGGGCGTATTGGGCCTAGGTGCCTAGACTTGTGGATTTTAGGATTACCTGGAAGCTCTTCCAGGTCTGGGAAGACTGAGGTGTTGGGAGGTACTGGTGCTAAACTGGATCCATAGTCATACCCACAACTGACTCTCCTGGGTTCACCCACCCCATAAAAAAAAGAGGGTAGTGTGGATCACTGGTTAGAGAGGGACCTCTTTCACTTCTAGGCACGTCCACAGCTGAGCGTCCTTTCGGCTTTGGCCCAACCACTTCATTAGCTCTGGAGCTACTTGTACTTGTCCTCCGCTCTTCCTCAGTAGCATGTTGGACGCCTTCCGACCTGAGGGGCCCATCTTCCAGCGTCATATCTTTTAGCCTTTTGTTTCTGATCATGGGGCGTTCTTGGCAAAGATACTGGAGTGGCTTGCCATTTCCTACTCCAGGTGGATTGCGTTTAGTCGGAACTCTCCACTATGTCCTGTCCGTCTTGGGTGTCCCTGCATGGCATAGCCCATAGCTTCTCTGAGTTACTCAAGCCCCTTCGCCACGACAAGGCAGCAATTGTTATACATAAAAAAATCCCCTGAAAATAACTCCTAATGCATTTTTGGAGCAAAAATTAATATAACACTCTGTCTTATTTTCGGGGAAACATGGTAGACACAGAAGGTGCCAATTGTGTTCCTGACACTGGTAATGAACGCCCAAAGTGATGATTACAAAAATCCCTGGGGACACCCAACTTTCAACGAGCTAATTGCCCATTCCTCTTCACTTTGTGTGCCATTCTAAGGTCCCACACAGTGTTCTACTCATAGGAGGAGTAACATTTTTTAAAATCCCGGTATCTTTCTCACAAAAGAGAGAAATTCTGGCTGTCTACTTGTCTGTCTTTAGGGCTCAAGCCCACCCTCTGGCCTTAAGAGTTATTACGTTTTGGAGGTCATTGTTGAGAAAATTCTGTTTCTACTGCAGATGTTCTTTTCCCCTAAACTCTGTAGCAGGTAAAAAGGAGGACAAATGCTTACAAGACAGTACTTTTCCTGCAAGCCCATCTTTCCCCTGAAGGATATGAGGGAAGGCAGAGTTGTGTCCAGCTCCAGGAGGAGGGTGGAGATAGTTCTGTGCCATAATGTTGTCCTACAGTTTTGCTCAGAATGCTTTTTCTCCATGGAAGTGGCTTCCATTTTCCTGCTTCATACTCAGCCTTTCGAATTTCTGTATATTTTTGAGCTTACTGTAACACTGCATGTTGTCAGACATTGTATTGTTTTTAGTTTCTATTACTGTACGTATCTCTTCATCACCATATAACTTCCCTGACAGCCCATACTTCCCAGTTTGAAAAAGCCCTGTGTGAGGAATTACCTTATGATGTCTTCCCCTGGGTTTTAACTGTAGTGTGGGAAGCCGGGGGGGGGGTATGGGCTGCCAGTTGCCGTAATGAAAACCAAGAGTTGAACACACCCCTCAGGGACCTCACAAGTAAACTAAGTAGAGGAAAACCGAATCTCGCCCATAAAAATTTCTCCAAAATGTCTCATCCTTTGAGATGCCTTTTGAAAGGGACATTCTTCTTTATTGGAACAAATTATAATGGCTGGAATTCTCAAGGGAGGGATCATGAGCACAGCACGGGTTTATTCATGCCAATCTACAGGCTGTTACATGGAAATAGATTAATTGCAGTTTCCCACACCACATTCCTCAGAGCCCAGTACGTAGAGAATCTTGTGAGGAGATTGTATGGAATTACATTTGTTGAGTCTTCCCAGAGAAAGGGGAACATATATACACCTCAACCTGTGAGGAAGGGATGGTGAACCATAACAAAAAAAGATGAAAAAAGTTCACAGAAAAGAACTTATCGTATCAACTACAGAAAAATTGCTGGATGGGAATGACTATGCTTTGCATAGGCAGGATTCTGGCTGTGGTGAAACTGAGAAATTGGAGAATGTGGAAGCCATCTTGGAAAATCAGGCTTCCTGTGAGTGCCTGGGGAAAGGAAGCTGAGAAACTGGAGGACAATGTCTGCTCAAGATAAGCCTGCGGGGCTTATCTATTGGGAGAGAGGTCTTCAAGGCCAAGCCAGATGCCCCCCCCCAATGCTAAATGGGAGATGACTTCAGCTGCATGAAGTGAAGGAGGCACAAAATGCTCTGGGCTTTAGAAACATTCTTGGAAACTCAAAGACTGCTTGGTGAGCCATCTGGAAAGGTCTAAAGCAGACTTTAATGTATAAAAAGGGGTTCAGAAGTTGCATTAGTCGGCTTAGCTCAGGGGATGTTATGTTCAGTTGCAGTCCTGCTATTCCTTGCCTGGAAAGATGTACTCTGTGTATGTTGACTCCATGCTAATGTGTGAGTATTAGATAAATTAGTTTAGCTTTATTATTTTCTGGTGCATTCTCCTGATTTCTTTAGCTTTATATCAACTGTATTTTTTTGCTCCAAATGCTTTTAAAAATTTTTGAAATGTTTTTGCCTTTTTACTGTCTTTAATAAAATATAAACATCTCCCCAGTCAACTGTCTAGGTTTTTGACACAGATGTGTCTGTGATATTGAAACCTAGTCTTGCTCTGATCAGCTAGTGGGAATTTTGGTATTTGTGTGAGTGTGTTGGCAGCTCTGCATAGCCAGGTGGGCGTATTGGGCCTAGGTGCCTAGACTTGTGGATTTTAGGTGCTAAACTGGATTCATAGTCATAGCCTAGGTGCCTAGACTTGTGGATTTTAGGATTACCTGGAAGCTCTTCCAGGTCTGGGAAGACTGAGGTGTTGGGAGGTACTGGTGCTAAACTGGATCCATAGTCATACCCACAACTGACTCTCCTGGGTTCACCCACCCCATAAAAAAAAGAGGGTAGTGTGGATCACTGGTTAGAGAGGGACCTCCTGAACTGAGTAATCTGACACTGGCAATAAACATCCTTTCATTTTAGGACAAACAAGCAGAAGCCCCAATTTATTTATTTTGACAGCACTTACCAAAATATAACTGTAATCATAACACACCATATAACGATGATGCACACATGCATTCAGTTGTGTGTTAAGGGAAGCCAAGTGTGTGTGTGTGTGTGGGGGGCTGTGCTTCAAGTTTCCTGGTTGTGTGTGTGTGTGTGTGTGTGTGGGGCTGTGCTTCAAGTTTCCTGGTGCCACCGGTGGATGCCATTGCTGCCATGCAATCCTTTGTTTTGCTGTATTGCAGCCGTGTGTGGAAAAATGCCTCTTAAAAGCATGAGAGTCCTCATTTGGAGCAGGTCAGACTATACGTATGTTTTCCTACCATTTATATCCCACTTTTCTGCCAGTAAATGATACCCCAGGTAGCTAATGGTGCTAAAAGCAAATTAAAACAACAACAATTAAAACATAAAAACAAACATGCAATTAAAGGGTATCATTTAAAAAGAAAACAAACCACCACCACCACCCCAATCAATTGAAGCCCATTTAAAAAGAAAACAAACCACCACCACCCTAATCAGTTGAAGCTCCTCTCTTAGCAACAACCAAGCTGATACGCCAGAGGTCTGTTATGAAGTGGCTGCCACACTGCAATGAATATGTCCTCGTCTTCCCTGTGTTCTACTGGGCTGTGTATGGAGATAATGGGTTAAATTCTACTGTTGATTTCAACTCAATGAATCAATGGGCCTCCCAGAAGTTTTCACTTTAAAAGTCCCATCCATCCCGTGAATCATTTAGCTCCCCATGCTCTAAGTCTTCCTTTCAACCTACCTGTAAAAAAAGGCGTATTATTGCTCCCACAGAAAACAAAGAACAGAATAGGGAAATGCTTGAAAGAGGTGAAGCAGGCACAAACCCTGATGACCAAGTCTTCTCAGAACGTGCAGGACATGGTACTAGAATCCTTTTATAAAAATGTAAAGAAATCTTGGCTCAAATTCCACTGATTTAATTGTGGAAAGGTCAATCAACAAATCCCATAGATTCTGTGGCTCCACTCTAGCTCAGATTACCAGCTAGATTCAGGCCCTTGTACTTTCAGGGCAAAAAGCCACATAAGAAAAGAAACGCAAAGTGGCGGAAAAGACTTTAATTAAAGTAAAGAAACTGTAACTTCCAAAGAGCATGATACAAGAATTGTTAAGTATCTTTCAACATTCTTCTCAGTCATTTCTCTTTGAAATGGGGTTGTTACACATCAATACACCTGTGCTTTCCATCATCGATATGCTTCTACACTGGACACAAAGAGATGTGGTATCACCGTCCCTTATGATATAAACCTCAAATTGTTTCTTTGTTAGAGTACCTTTCATAAGTTACACTGAACGTGACTTTCTGAAGTCAGGTATTTCCTATCCATATGACAAGAGTTACTGATAGCAAGAGGAAACACTACAAGAAAGTATGTTATGCACATTCTTAGGAATTTAAGCAATACACAGCAGCAGTGATTAACTTGAAGCACATATTTTCTTCATCTCTTAAGAGAACATTTCCATCTGAAATCAGGATTAGCTGGAACAACAGATAGTTCAGGTACGAAGTGTAATTTGAAAGGCTTAGCAATTTAAATCCAGTGCTTAACAGCCTTGAGGGCTGCACCAAAAGTTTGAAGGGCTGGATTAGTTCCTTTATAGGCCATCAGGAGGGAGCCTGCCTCAGCAAGGAAGCCGGCTCCTTCTAGCTGTTTTGCTGTGTCTTCAACATCCCACTGCCCTTCCTCCTGCTTGGTCAGCAGATGGTTAACCAGGTGGGGATAGAAGGCTGTGGAAACACACTTCACCACCAACTTCTTATCCAGGAGCAACGAAAGCAGCTCAGCGTCACAGTTGGAATTGTCAGCCTACAAGGCGGAGGGGGGGGAGGAAAAAGAGAACATCACTATTATTATTATTATTAGTAGTAGTAGTAGCAGCAGCAGTAGCAGTAGCATTGTTGTTGTTATTATTGTTATTATTATTGTTATTATTATTGTTATTATTATTGTTATTATTATTGTTATTATTATTGTTATTATTATTGTTATTATTATTGTTATTATTGTTATTATTATTGAAATACAATAGTACACTTTTACAGGACAGTACACTTTTAATTTTGAAACAAGGATGTTCTCTTCTGCTTGATGAGACCTTTAAAAAAAAAGGTCAGCACCTAGTAAGTTTCATACAAATGTGGCACCATTTCACAGCAGTACTTTTCAAAAATTGCAAACATTTCTGATACAAGATGTGATAAAACCTGTGTCTTTGGGCTGCTATGTCACAAACAAGAGAACAAATGCACAATAATTTATTGTGACAAATGAAACGGTATCTTGGTGTTGGCCATTGGGGTGGAGACTTAATATTTGCCCCTCCTTCCTTAAAGTTCTTTGCTATGGGGACAAACTCAACAAAAGCAAGGGTCAGAATGCTCAGGCAGCCTCCCCTTCCCCCACAAATCGTCTGGACTTAGTTCTTCCTAGAAAATGCTATAGTCTGGACTTAGTTCTTCCTAGAAAATGCTACAGAGCAGGGGTTCCCAACCTCTGGTCCGTGGCCTGGTGACGGTCCATGGCCTTGGCAGGACCAGGCCGCAGAGACAGATCTCCCCCCTGCACACACTCCCCCTGATTCATGCCCACCTGCACGCACAGCCTGCCCCCTCCCCATGGGTTCCTTGCCTACCTGGACCAGGCCGCAGAGACAGATCTCCCCCCCCTGCGCACACTCCCCCTGATGCATGCCCACCTGCATGCACGGCCTGCCCCCTCATGGGTTCCTTGCCTACCCTCTGGCATCTACTGGTTCCCAGGGCACAGCTTTTGATGTTCATGCTCATTTATCTGTCAAGAAGCCTAAAGACACCATTTATCCATGCTCTTCCACCAGAAACGAGACCTTGAAGGTTCAATCCCACAAGCTCTTGTGCCACCTGAGCAGCTCACTGGGTTTTCAACCTACAACTGCTTGTTCCCTCCAGATACTTTTAAAGAATGGCCAAATTTGTTTCAAGGTGACACAGCCAGAAAGAGATGTCAGAAACAGCCCATGATCAGAAGGAAATTCTTAACGCAGGTGAGTATCGGAGCATCACAATACAAGCTTCTCTCACATTTGGGATTGTGCAAATTGACTTGCTCCGTTTGGTAGCTAGTCTTCAGGATTTAAACATGGATTCCTTTGAAGTCTGATTTCACAAATCCAGAAAGACTGCCTCACCTCTTTCCAACATTAATGTGCTTTCAGTGGTAATTGTGAGTTATTTCTAACGTCTACTTCTGGCCTGAGTACAAGTACAGAAAACAGCAGTGATATCCGAACGGCAGCCTTTATTCCTATTGCTAGAATTTTCCCAGAATTTAGTGGTAAACTAAAAACAAGGCAGGCATGTTCCCGAATGTGCTTTGTGCAGATCTCATTTAAGTGTAAGCTGGTTTTGCCAGGCACTTCAGCAGATTGCCATGCTGCTTTAATAGCACAGAAAACTTCATGCTTTCAATCCCCAGATAAAAACTAATAAACAGGCCATTAAAAATACCCGTAAAAGCCAACCCACACTGTAAGTGCTGTACAAAACTTGACTCTTCCACGGTGCAGCTCTAGCACATTAAACGCTAATTACAGGACTGTGTTTAGCAAGATGAATGACTGTTCACCTACTATATCAATGGCATTTGGGAAAGAAAAAAAAGATAATATAGTGTTGCTGCTCGGCATGGGGTCACATTCTGTACTCTGATGGCTGCTAGAGTAGGATGAATTATTCATGTGACAGCAGCCAAAATGTCCCGTCCCCTCCCACGGTGATCAGAAATGCTTTAACTGAGCATGATGACTCAACAATAAAAATTACTCATTTCAGGACAGTGCCCTATCCCTATCACACTGTGTGTAGATCAAGGGCAAACAAACGTCCTCCTTGTCAAGGGCAACATCTCCTCCAGGGTAATGTGTCATGTGCATGTGTCATGTGCATGTCTTTGGAGAGTAGGTCTGAAGACAGAGGTGGGCAGGGCCATTTGCAGGCATGCTCACCCATTTTCTCCTTCTTTCTGACATCCCCCTTTCCTTCTCCCTTCAGATCTAGAGACTTCTGGGGAAGAGATGGAGACTCTTGCAGAAGCCTAAGCTAAGCTCTTGCATGGAGCTTTGGGAATGAGACCAAAGGGCTGTATAAGACCAGGTCAAGATCCACTTGTGGGCCATCGCTTACCAGTCCTTGTATAGCAGCGGTTCCCAACCCTGGGTCCCCAAATATTCTCAGACTAAAACTCCCAGAGGCCTTCATCACGAACTGTGCTAGCCAGGATTTCTGGGAGCTGTTGTCCAAGAACATCTGGGGACCCAAAGTTGGGAAGCAGTGATTCATAGGGGGGGAAAAGCAATGGCACTGAATGGATTCCTGGGGGAGGGGCAAATCCGCATTCATGCAGCAGGGGGAGCAGGCTCTGAAGTAGCTCTTAGTCCCGTGGTGAGATGATGACGTGGTGTGATTCGCAGTATTGCGGTCAGAGCAGTGAGTGGGATCTTGTGTAGAGGGGGAATGGATCTTCCAATCCCCACGTTTTCCAAGAAATTGGCATTGAAAATAGAAGGCAAACAGCCTGCCTCTTCCAGAAGGCTATGATTACCTGTATAACCAAGTTTTGGCTCGGACGAAAACAACCTACATGTAGGCATGGCAATGTTCAATAAGAGTATTCTGCTTTGCTCATAGGGTTCATCTATTGTATTGATAGGCCTACAAGTCAAAGATGCTGGATATAACATTTGACTTACTGAGTTTCTGATTGCAACCTAATATGTGCTGTTTTGGGTGTCGTGCTGAACCCCCGTTTTACAGTCTGTGGCATGTTTCGGCTCATGCACTCCCTCTCCTGAGGCACAGCTGTGTTGTCTATCACCTCCCTCTCCCCCTCAAAAAACCTACAGGGAGCTGAGAAAAGCCAACATCAGACAGTCATTTAAAGAGTCTTACGCTCAACCAGAGAACTGGGATCGAGTGGCATTCAAAGCTCCAGTTCACTCAAAACTGAAGAGGAAGTGTCCCATCTCATTCTCTTGCCTGTGCCCTGGTAGGAGAAGGGAGTGCTTATATCGGAGACGCTGAACTAGCACCACAAGCACCACAACAGTTCCTTGAGTTTTTCAAGGGCTGAAAATGATATTGTTGCAGGCAAGCAGAATGGGTAAAAAAAAAAATCAACAATTGAAAAAAAGTTTTAAAAACTGAAATCATTATTTTTATTGGTATATGCTTTTTGTCTAAACTGATGCAATTCAAAGGGAAGGACTATAAATTTTGGTTCTGTATAATGAGAAGAAGAAGAAGATCATATCTATTTTTCAACTCATACTCGTTTTTTTCAGTCTTGGGCCTTTCTCCTTCCCTCCAGACTTGATACAATGCTGGAAATTCTTGAAAGACCTCTTAAAATCTCAGGGATTGCTTCCTTCACGTGATGCTGATTTTTTTTTTTAAGGGTGGCACTATTTTTCCTCTACAACTTTGTATAAACAAAATCATGCTCCTATTTCTCTCTAAGTGCACACTTTCTGAATCCTTTTTCCAGGGCCCTCAGAAACACCTGTTTCAATAAGTTTTGGTAATTAAATAGAAGTAATTAGGATTTTTTTCAAAATGAATCATTGGCTGAAATCCTTTGCCTTGTATGCAGAAAGAAAACAGCATAACATTCAGCCACTTCTAGCTGACAATTACTGAGTTGCTGTTGGGATTCTCAGGGGTAACACACATGCAGGCTTGGCATATGCATGAGAATCCCGGCAACTCATTAATTGCCAGCTAGAAGCAGCAGGAAGGGGGGGTAGCTTAGTCATCTGACTGTTAGGGCTAGAGGGTTGGAGTTCAATTATATATTATGCCTCCTGTGAAAAGAGCCAGTCTGTGTAGCACTGGGCAAGCTGCACAGCCTTTATGGCACAGTAATTACGCAACATTGTCTCTTAATATAGGCCTTCTAAAAATAAAATAAGCATTTCTGAGTTATGAACAATATATCTTAACGTTATAGCAGACAAGAATGTGCTTTGTTGGGTGGTGGTAGCACGTGATTAAACTGGGTCTTTCTAAATAGTAACTCCAATCAAAATTTAGACCATGCCTTAAACTTGTCTGATCAAGGGTACTCTGCTGGCAACTCTATATCTAGGGCAGCCATGCTACTTAGATGAACTACAAAGACACAATCTAATGTGTACACCTTACCATGCTGTGTAGGCTTGTGCTTAAGAAATTATCTTCACAGAATGCGAAACCATACTCGAGAAGTTATAAAGAGGAAAAAGGGCATATGTGAAAAAAGAACTGTGGAAAATGCACAATTAGCTCCAGCTGCAGCACACTCTGCGGAGAAGTAAAACAATTTGGGCTACATAACCATTATTTTTTGACCGCTATAGGGACAATACTGCCCCCTATCAGTGGTGCCCAGAAAGCTAGATATGACGACTGTTGTGCATGCAAGAACCACAAATCAGACCACAATCCCCCAAAGAGCATGGATGCACTGCACACACAGAATGGCCACCACTTCTTCGAGTGAGGCATCCTTCTCAGCTGCTATCCACAGCAAGAGGGACATGTTTTGGGATATAACCGATGCTCATTTGTTTAACCGGTTTAATGTTAAAGACTCACAGAGAGATAAATCTGTCCCTGGCATGAAAAAGCAAGGCTTCAGAAGAACGGCATTATTGAAAAATCACAGATAATTTCCCCAAAGAAAGAAATGGCATAAAGCAGCTTACTCAGGAAACATCATTCATGTAGGAGAAAACGAATTACGTTTGAGGACTGTGTAATTGTTATTTTAGCTTATTAACATAGGAACAGTAT